AAATTATGGTATATGCATCCAATGGGCTTTAGAGACATAAACATAACTCTTGAATCCTCACAACATTGTTATGATATGGGTAGTATTATTAGTACTATTTTATAGAAGAGGAACCTGAGGCTCAAAAACAAGTAGTTTGCCATTTCGAGATTTACCTTGATGTTCAATTAAGTCTGTGATAGGACATGTAAATAGCTTGCCAAAGCAAACATCACTCCTGAGTGGCCAAGGCAGAATCTAACTTTAGACAGTTCAGCTTCAATGGTGGTGTTTTTGACCATTGTGCTATACAAATACACCCACATCAACAAAATTAGAAGTAATACAGGATATCTCAATGTCTGGTTCTTGGGCAGGCATATCAAATGCTTCCTGTTTTAAAAATTATTTTCAATTCTTCTTCTACTAGCTATACTTCAGTACAATTTGAGACCTGCTAGACAAAGCCCAGGGATATCATAAGGACTTTTTCCAGGAAATCATTTGCCATCTCTTAAGAGATGAATGATGAAAGAATAGGGTTCCATTTCTGAGGGATTAGTTTCTGAAAACTTTATGAATAGCTGTGGACCCTTGTCTGATATAGTTTCAGAATATAAACCCTTCAGGTCCGAAGACACTCAAAATACTATTGAGGAAGGGTTGCTTCCTCAAAGTAGAGTTAACCTTAATGTTGTGGCTAGAGTAAATCTTTTATGATTTTAATTTGCTGTTGAGACACTATTCAAAATGAGATGAAAAAGCTGCAAAATCCATTAATGATCAGAACATGGGATATATGACAAAGTACGAATTTAGGAATTTTGGAAGAAATCAATCATGAAATGAATAACATAAAGATCAATATGCTAGGCATTAGTACCTGTACAAGGCAGATTTGTGTTCAATGGCAATCAGCATGAGGTTCAGTTTTGTAAAGCAGATCCTGGGAAGGAAAACAAATACTTTTGAAGAGGTGAAAACAGAAAAGGACAAGTTTATAGGAACTTTATTGATACTTTACGCTTAGTATCTGGGAGAAAACCAACAACTTGGCAAAGGAAGGACCTCATAAATACAGAATTCAGTAGTAAGCATATCCATACAAAGACAGTGATCGCCCATGAACCAGACCGGATATAGATGGGATTGTCCTACACAAATGTCTAATTTGAGGGAATTCTGTCTTACTCATTTCTTGCTTGTCAGTGTTTCTCAGGGAGCCTGGCCTAGAGTGAACTGCCAATGAACTTTCTTCAAAGAACAGCATTTCATAAGGAAGGAGAAAATCTTCCCTTAACTTACATTGACACTTCAGGAAAAGTCATTCCTTCAAAGTCATCAGAAAGACGTTGAGTCAAGATTTTGTTCTTCAAGCCATTTATAAACTGTTTTTTCCAGAGATGTTTAGGAATCACCTGGAATATACAATCATGTTACCTCATGGAGAGTTCATATCATTATTTAAGTTCTCATTATTAATGAAATTGGATTAGTGTTTATAATCTAAGTGTTTTCATTGCTAAGAGAGATTTAAAAGAAAAAGAAGATAATAACAGAGAAAAAGAAACCTCATAAGACTATTTTTAAAAGATAAAAAGGAAAACAAGAGAATAAAATATGCTGTGGATAGTAGACTTTGGGTACTCCAAAGAAAATCATTTAGGTGAATCTAATCTAATTTTAAGCTTAAGACAATGTCTGTATCAATCAATCAAGAATCAATCAGAAATGCTTTTCATGCTGCCATTTCTTGCTATAAACAATATAATTAATATGACCTGAAATTCTTGCATCTGATTACTCAAGGTGCTGTGCATTAGTCATTGGGCTGCTAACCACAAGGTTGGCAGTTGAAACCCACAACTGCTTTGCAAGAAAAACAAAAATACAAAAAACTCGACTTTCTGCTTTTTCAAAGATTTATAGTCTTATGAGCCCTATCTAGAGTCTCTATGGATTGGAATTCACTTGATTTACTCATAGATTTACACTGCAGCTTGTCTGTCTCTTTGTCAGACTGTGGTGGCTTTGTGTGCTGCTGTCCTGATGAAAGCTATGTCCCTGATTTTTCGATTGCCAGCAGGATCACCCAAAGTGAACAGGTTTCAGTGGAGCTTCAGGACTGAGAACAGACCACAAAGAAGTAATCAGCTGTCCACTCTTGAGGAATTAGGCTGAAAGCCTCATGCATAGCATTGAAATATTGTCGGACGGTGAAAGCCTAATGATTAGAAACAGAACAACGTTGGAGATGGTGACAGATGAGCCCCTTTCGTCTGAAGGCACTCAAAGTTTGACTGAGGAAGAGCTGCCTTCTTAAGGTAAAATCGACCATAATAATGTGAATGGAGTGAAGCTTGTGGGGAAAAAGCCATCAGGGCCTTCTTTTGCTGATGGGGTACAACTCAAAATGATGTGTGTGTGTGTGGGAGGGAGGTCGGGAACAACTTCAAAAAAATCTACTGATAATTGGAACTTGGAATGTAAAGATTATGAATCTAGGAAATTTGGAAGTCATCAGAAATGAAGTGGAATGCATAAAGATCAATAACATAGGGGTTAGAGAGCTGAGATGGGAACTGGCTAAGGCAGCTGCACCCTGGTCCAACCATCACAAAGCAAGAGACCCGAGAACTAGAAAGGCGAGGCTCAATGAGCCATTTATCCCTGCACCCTTCAATTAACCCCATGTGTGTATCGGCCAGGTTGGCACAATAAACTACCTACCTCAGACTGATATTGGACATTTTGTAAACCAGAACAATCTTATTGTTTCCTGTACTGGGAACGACACAATCAAGAGGAATGGCATTGCTGTAAGGTGTTGTCAGGTCAGTTTCAACTCATAGAAACACCAAAACTCATGTACAGCAGAACTGAACACTGTCTAGTCCTATGCCACAGTGACAATTGTTCTTATGGTTTAGCTCTTCAATGTAGCCATTATGTCAATATATTTTGTCAAAGATCTTCCTCTTGTTCACCTCCCTGCTGCTTTACCAAGCATAATGTCCTTCTCCAGGGAGTGGTCTCTTCTGACAACGCATCCACAGTCTTGCCCCCCTTGCCGCTAAGGAGTATTCCAGCTAAACATCTTCCAAAACAAATGTATTTGGTTTTTTTGGTTTTTTGGAAGTCCACGGCAAATTTTTTTCATCAGTGCTATAATTCAAATGCATTCATTCTTTTTCTGTGTTCCATATTCAATGTCCAACTTTCACATGCATATGAGGTGACTGAAAATACTATGGCTTGAGTCAGGCAGGCCTTAGACCTCATAAATGGAAAAAAGATTGAAGTGGTCAAGGATTTTGTCTTACATGGATCCACAATCAATGCTCTTGGAAGTAACAGTCAAAAGATCGGAAGATGCATTTCACTGGGTAAATCTCCTTCACAAGATCTTTTTAAAGTGTTGAAAAGCAAGGATGTTATTTTGAGGATGAAAGTACACCTGACCAAAGCTGTGTTACTTTCAATTGCCTCATATTCATGTGAAATTTGGACACTGAGTACGGAAGATTGAAGAATTGATGCATTTGAATTACAGTGCTGGTGAAGAATATTGACTTCCAAAGAAACAAACATATCTTTCTTGAAAAAAATACAACCAGAATGCTCTTTAGAGTCATGGAAGGTGAGACTTTGTCTTATGTATTTTGGACAACCGGTGAGGAGAGAGCAGCCCCTGGAGAAGGACGTCATGCTGGGTAAAGTAGAGGGTCAGGGAAAAAGGAGAAAGCCCTTGACAAAATGGATTGACCCGGTGATTGCAACAATGGGATCAAACACAATAAAAATTATGAGGATGGCACAGAGCAAGTCAGTATTTAGCTCTGTTGTACAGGGGCGCATGATGAGTTGGAAGCCACTCGATGGCACCGAACAACAACAGTAACAAACAACAAGCAAACAAAACAGAACAAGTCAACTTCTTATAAGCTATTGTATAGATCTTATGCAGGCATCAGTACATGAAGTTAAAGTCTATTCATTTTAGTGACATCATGGCTAATTCGTATTGAATTCTTTATATCTTTTCATATTCAAGAAGCAATTATAGAAGAGTTCTGGTCCTCGCTAACAACATATGGCAAAGAAAAGACATCAAAGGTATTTGTCTGGGGAAGAACGAGGTGAAATTTGTTATTTGCAGACAATATGATTTTATATATTTAAAATCTCCAAATCTCCACAAGTGGAGGGTTGGAAGTGATAGAGGAGTATGACAGAGTGGCAGGACACAAGATCAACAAACAGAAGTCTATCGGACTGCTATACTCATCAGACAAAATCACAGAAAGGGTGATTAAAAAGGTAGTACCCTTTACAATAGCCGAGCACATATTGTAATATCTAGGGATATACCTGACTAAAAAAATACAAAAACAAATGATTTATATGAGAAAACTACAGAACACTATTATAAGAAACCAAGACTGACCTCAACAAATGGAAGAATATTCCATGCTCATGATTGGAAGACTCAATATCATAAAGATGTCAGTTCTGCCCAAGGCACTATATAAGTTTAATGCTATCCTGATATGAATATCAATCATCCTCTTCAAAGAATTGAAAAACTGTTTACCAACTTCATATGGAGAGGGAAGAAGCCCAGGGTTAGCAGAGAACTCTTAAAGAAGAAGGACATAGTGGGAGGGCTTGC